CATCATACGATATAATTTATTGTAACTGGTACCTTCTTCATTACTCCTATAAACCCTCAGGTGTCAAACGTCAAATTATATACAGTATAACTTGATAGTAGACTACGTTCTTGTTCACCTTTATAATGTGATTCCTTCATCCCACAGACTTTGTCAGAGTTCTTGACATAATTTTTAATAGTTTAGGTTCTTCGACAAAAGTGATCTCAATCCGTAATTATGTCGTAATGACTATCTGAATTGCTTAACTCTGAAAACATAAAGTCGTCAAGATAACAGAAATGTTCCTATTTTATACGTTTGAATTCATCTGTATCACTAGGGTCTGACCAGTCCCATTCTTTAATGTCAACAACGGGAAAATACAAATTCTTACTAGTACTTTGTCGTAATCTATTTGTCATGTTAATAAGATTGAATTTCTATTTAAATCATACACAACCTGTTACTATGTAAACTGTAGCTACAGAATAAATCTTACTAGTGAATAAAACCATCTGTAACCTAGCGGATAGCTAAAAGATTCATCTAGCGTATGTATCGATTCTAAACAAATTTTACAAAGCTAACGATGACTTATAAAATATAATCTTTGCTTAACTGACTTGTAGTTGAAACTGGAGTCCCAAATCTAATTATGTGTAATGAAAATACAAAGACTGTTGATTTGGATTTATTTAACACCCAGAATGAATCATATGATGCATAAGTATACTGATCTTCATATTATTTATTTATTTTCAGATTTGTGTAAACTGAACTGAGTAGTATATAACATCAACAAATCAATAATTAACTATGTGAGCACATTTACAATATCATACAATTAGGTATTTATAACCACTGGAAATAACTAGTTGACTAAATGATATGACAATTAAAAGTGATTAACTGTCGTGGATGATTGCTTGCAATCGTACTTCGGTCAATTAGTTCATTATTCTTCATATCAACTGAACTTGAATCATGTCCAATCAGCATTTTATTAATTTATTAATTTTTACCTAACCAACATTAAAGTATGAATACTGTACTTGGCATTGTTTGCTGGTATTTCCCCATTGATCTTAAGTACTGAAATTGATCAGTTTTCTGTTGGCATATGTACATTCTGTGCGGATTGCCTCAATATTGACTTAAGTCTCAAGCATTATAAACAAAGATGGATAGTGGCTAGCAGTGGAATACAAGACGTGCGTTTCATTCTATTTTGGGACTTGTCAAGCAGGATTTACCTGCATCCCAGAGTTGATAGTCACCTTGGAACACCATCGCATTATACACTTATCTACAGAGTCCTGATAGCCACCTGCTTGTACAATGGGGTGAATTTCAAATTCTTTCAGTACTGTTTGCTTGTATCATTTCATTGTTGTATAGGACTTCAATTGATCAGTCTCTTGTTGGCATATGTGCATCCTGTGCGTATTGCCTCGATATTGCCTTAATTCACAGGCACCATAAGCAAAGATGGATGATGGCTAGCACTGGAATCCAGGAAGCGCGTTTCGTCTTATTTGAGGCTCTCCAGCTGGAGGTACCTGCATCTCAGATTTGATGTTCACTCGGGACTCGAACCCAGTACTTTTCGCTTAAAATGCTATTGTGTCATCTACTTAGCTACTGAACATCAAGTTCGCAATACAGGTACATCCAGCTGACGAGTACCAAATAGAACGAAACGTGCGACCTGGATTCCACTGCTAACCACTATTCATCTTTGCTTATAATGCTTGAGACTTAAGTCAATATTGAGGCAATCCGCACAGGATGTACATATGCCAACAGAAAACTGATCAATTTCAGTACTTAAGAACAATGAGAAAATACCAGCAAACAATACCAAGTGAATTTACTGTACCTAGTAGTGTCTTCTGTATTGCTCATTTAAATATTAATGATGAGTTTCTATGTATATATATACCTTAAAATCACTTATAATTCAGCGGCAGATAGACCAGTGATAAATTTCAAAACATATTCCAACAATACATTAATAATTATTTTCTAAGTAGTTAATTATAAATACTTTAAAAAAGATTTTTAGATAAATTATGATAGTCTGCAAATATAAAAGGAAATAAAGTTTATAATACTCTATTAATTTGATCTGATAAACATTTTGTATGAACCTAAAAACTGTGTTGATTCATAAAAAATAAAAAAACAAAAAGATCAAATGAGTATTACATAGTGATGTCTGTAATTAGGACAGTAAACCAACTTCCAGATTATACAATATATAGTTATAATAATTTACTATTTGTTTAGACACATAAACACTGATACAATGAGGCACCAGACAGATATGGTCCACATAAATCATTCAATTTGTATGAGAGCTGAGATACTGTCCGGGTTGCAAAACTGAAGCTGATGATTTTCTCAGGGGGTCACAACCGGAGCAACGTCAGGTGGTGCAGTACCACATAGTAGCCAATGACTAACGATTGGTTCATACTTCATTTATTTCCTTCGGGATCCTGGAGCCCAAGTGCACCATTTGTTTGGAACCAAGGTTTTCCAACTCTCCTAAGTGGACTCTCCGTGTTCACCAACCTGGTTAAAGCACCAGTTGCATATTACTTTAACGTCAGTCCCTTTTTTTGAAAAATAACAAATGTAATTTAATTTTTATTCACCTCCAAGTTTACCTTTGACTAAAATTGTCTATTGAGAACAAATCGGATCTATTTAGTAATCAAACGCATAACAGATAGTAATCTAATCTAAAAAATGCCTTTTTTCCTCAGCTTATTTTATACAAGTCAGTCAGATGCAAATTCTTTATAATATTATTCGGTTTCTTTTTGTTTGTTCGTGTTTTTCATAGAATAACATCAATTTTCATGTTTAGAATAGTGTAGGTGATAATTATAACAACCTTTCAAGTTAATAGTTTTGAATAATTTTTTTCTGATTAGCATTTTTTAGCTAGTTAGCTTTCTACGGGATAGAATCACTAACCCCGTACACAACCTTCCCCTTTATCCGGGCTTAGGATCGGCAGTAGCTCCAAATGGGCTCCAGGCGGAGTTGACCTATCATTTTAGTTATTAATATGTCATGATTGAATGAACATCATAACTTTACTGAATGCCTAGATGAATGATATTCATCCTTCATTCTTCCTTCATAAAAAAAATACGCGTTACATAGAAGCATACAGATTCACGGAAGATCAAATAGTTTCTGTTTATGTATTGAATGTAATTGAAAGTAATATTTCTGTTAACCACTTTCCAATTAGTAGAACAGACGTATCTAAATATTGTTTTACTAAAACGAATTGATGATTGAAGTTTTGTTATATTCCAATTTACTGAAAAGTATCTCAGTCTAACTATATTTGATTTTAATTTCAATATTCTGAGCCAACAATAATTAACAGGATGAATATTGGACTATTTAAATATAAATGAATTGGCATTTTTAACTACTGTTTGACTCAATATAATACTATTTAAGCCAAAAGTGCGTAGATTGATTGTTTTGTATATGATCATGCTATTAGGAAATGAAGTTAATCGAATGATCTAAATTATTAAAGATAATTTAAGAATGTGACATATATTTTGTGGTTAATCAATTAGACTGTATAGTTTGTCTGTGTGTTTTAACCTTCCTTCGTATGAAGTAAGTCTTGAAAATACTCAATTCTACTGTTTATATAAACGTAACTATCACGTAAAAATAGATTTTTTTTATTGTAATGTACATGCAGTACAAGTCTACCCTCAAAAAGTAAAGTATACTATTTTTAGAAAATTAATTCGATAGTTGAGTAACACTGTCATTTAAAGAAATATCCATATAAAATCTAAAACCATCAGGATACAATAAAACGATACAAGTAGGTTGTGGAGATTAAGTTTTGATTGAGATCATGAACCGATCATTGTTAAACAACTGTTCAAAACCTGAAAGTACTGAATGACCGTTTCGTGTTAGTGTGGGACTCAACAGCACATATCCATGATCTTGAAAACAGGATTCGGTCTCACGCGCGAATGCCCAACCTCTAGATCATAAAGCTGGAATTTAATGGTACTAATGGATGCCGGCTCATTGGTCTAGAGGTTATGCGTTCACGCGTGAGACTGAAGGTCATGGGTTCGAATCTCGTATGAGTGATCATGGATGCAAACTGTTGGGGAATCTCGTACTACAACAAAACAGTCGTCAAGTTCCTGCAGGTTTTCAATGGTAGTCAAACATGAATCGGTTCATTATCTGTATTAAACACTAATTTTTGTTTAATGACAACGAGCCATCTGTTTTTAGAAATACAAGTCCTGAAGATAATGCTATAACTGAAAGATTTTATATTTTTGTGATAGTGTTATGATATTTAAGCTAAACAGTTTAATTTTGAAGCCGTTTTTTTGTCATTCCGAATAAAATCTTCAGTTAATGTAATTTGTTCTACATACAGTATTAGATTTTAAAATTAAAACACAAAGTTCAGCGAAGGGATCCCTTTTCAACGAATTTATTATCAAACGGTACAATCGTATATATATGAAAAAATAGTAATTCCGTGAGGAAATGTGAACACAGTTAACCAAGATGACGTAATAGAAAGATTATAATACTAGATTATGTAATACGAATGATAACAATAGATTTAGTGAATATAATAAGATAATTAAAATGTTTTCGTTATAATAATTAAAGGTCATAGGGGTGTAGAAATAAATAAGGTGATATGATGAGCATTTACGAATAAAATAAAATAATGAGAATATAAGACATAAGTAAAGGGGGAATGCAGTAATAATAATAATAATAATAGGATAATCAAAATAATTAAGTCCAAGGTAACGATAACGATAAGACGTACTTCTTTTGTACGCATAGTTCTGGTTTAAGCTCCTGGATGGTAAGAGCTTCGGCTATTTTTAAGAGTTGGGTACGAAGAAAATACCATTAAAAGCATTCACCTATATTACAAATCTTTTCAATCATTTAACACTTATCTTTTTTTTACTTTAATTTAGGTGTCATGAATATTGTCAAGCACGATTAAATTTAATCTTCGATTCATTAACTGGTCATTCAGATTTACCATCTTTAACTAGAAAATCAAGAAATTTATTTGTCAATAAATTAAATCGTCATTCATTATACCGATTAAGGAATCATGAAAATAATCTAATGAAACATGAAGAAAGGCGAATAACAAAAAGTAGAAATGTAAAATCATCGAATAACATCAATATTCATAATACTGATGATAATGATATAAATCAAATGAATAATTTTCTTATTGAAGCTGAACAATATCGAATGTTATATAAACCTGAATTAGTATTTACATTCAGATTAAATCGTAAATTAATTCAATCATTAGAATTAGGTGAATCATTAATTGATGGATTGAAAAATGTAAGTTTTGAAAAGTTGTGTTTTTTTATTTCTTTATAAAAATGTTATTCGTAAATGGTGTCTTCTTGGATAGAAATAATCACTGAACAAACATTTTGTTCAAGTTTCAATTCTTTTTGAGTCACAATCTGCATGAAATGTATTTTGTATTGTTTGTTTGAATCTTCCCATGGATGTTCAGGATTGTAATTGGTCAGTCTGTTGTTGATATATGTGCACCCTGTACGGATTGTTTCGATATTAAGTTACAACCATTATATAGACAAAGATAGTTGATGGCTAATAGTGGAATCCAGGATGCACAATACTACCTGTTTGTAGCTAAGTGGGTAACGCGATGGCATTCTAAGCGAACAATATCAGATTCGAATGATGGAGTGATCAATAAATCTCGGATGCCGATACATCCAGTTGACGAGTGTGCTGCTAGCCACTATCCATCTCTGCTTATAATTTATATTGTTTGAAACATTAATCTATTTGTTACTGATGGTGTAGACTACTAATGTGACCTAGAAAAAGGAAATCAAAGATATTCAGTATAATTATGTTATGCTTTCCAACCAATACATTTTTCCTGCTTTACGCTATGATAATTCATTTGATAAAGAATTTCTATTTAAGAAGCTTTTAAGTTATCCAGTAAGTCACCAAAATTACCGATATACAAAATACTGTCACATAATTTCTCTTCGATAATAACGATCAACTTCTGCAGAATTCTATTAATATCAATGAAGAAAAAAATTTATACAGCGTTTATTCTACTTCTAAAAGATCGAATTTGAAAATTGGATAGTCAGACGTAGTCTACAATTTACTACATAACATAGTTTTTCGTAGTTTTCTGTACTAATCAAGGAATATAAGGTGAATTCAACATGTTAATTCATCTTACAAATGATTTTTGTTTATTGGACGTATAGGTGGATTACAAACATGGAACATAGTATCTAAATCTCGAAAAGAAATAGTAACAATTCAATGAACAAGTCAACTGTTTTATCACTCAAATTTATATTTCACTCTTATACTACCGCCCTAATGACTATCACAAATATTTCATCACGTTTAAATGGTTATTGATAAATCGAAAATATTTATATTGTCTTAAGCTGATAAGAACAGCTATCCGCCGTCTTAGTTCTGTTTCGTCACATTTTAAATAAAAAGAATAAAGTATATATTCAAAGTAACAAATTATATCTGATATTAATGAACATATGCTCATTAGTGACGGTATCCGAGAGGTATTTATCTAGAGTTCTAGTGGGAAGCATTGACTAGTGGAGTTCAACCGGGTCAGTTGTGAGATCGTAACTCACTGAAGATAATGTTGGATGTGTCGCTCAATTTCGTGGATTAGTTGAAGTTAGACATTAACATCGTTAGATGAGGGCACAGTGGAGACCGATAGGTTGTTGGTTCGAATCTCGTGAGGCGAAATCGTGGATGTGCACTGCCGATGATTCCAACAGTAGGACGAAACTGTCGTCCAGTGCCTCCGGACATTTCATCATGGTCTAGCTTCAATATATCCATTATCTTAACTATTAAAATTACTATAATATCCACAAAACCCCTTCTGATATATGTCAATACTAAAATGAACCTTATGTGAATGATATCAATAACACTCATAGATATTGAAAGTAGATGAAATAATAAAAGTAATCCCCAATTCTCTATTCATACATTTATCATTGAAGTTAGGGTCAAGTTGAATTTAATGTTCATTCTGTTGTATTTACTATTAATACTAAAATTATTGTTATCTATTTAACCCTTGATTGTGTTATTACTTCATTCAGTTTCTTTTTGTTTAGTTCTTCTATTATTTGTTTACTTGTTTATTTCTTTGTCTTTTTTTGTATTTTGTTTACTTTCTTATTTATTTTCAAATAGGAATACTTGTCTAAATGTATTTCTTACTGTTATTATCATTACTATTGTGTATTTTGAATGATCCCCTTTTATGTTTATTAGTGTCTAGGTTAAACAAATAGTATGTATGTTTAAATAATCTTATCTAATTTTGTTTATTTTTGTTTTAATTCACTAGTTAACTTGTTGTTTATGTTTCGATTATTGTGAATATGTAGTTGTTTATTTATTTACTTGTTTATGTTTAAAGAACATCATTTCGATAGAGATTCAAGTTTAAATAGAGAAATCTGTATTTTTATTTATGATTAGGATAAATCAGACAGTCAATTGAATGGATTGATTGAATGATAGACAGATAAATAAGCAATTGAATGTTGAATTCCCTCCAGAGAACTAGATATCTGAATAATAATAATAGTAATGTGTAATCCACTGTTAAGTTTCTTTTCATCTTTTTTTCACTTTATGGTAAGAAAATAAAAATCAGGGACTTTTTCATTAATGAATGTTAAGAATGAAAATAAACTAATGAATAGTTTGTTTGATACTGTTTTTGTTGTATAATGACTTAACAATAACAATATTTAAATTATCAGAAAGATTTTTCTGGAGATGTTGGTAATTCTATAGTTAAATTCATGAGTCCATTGAAGTTAGACCAGCATGAAAAACGTGGAAGTACTGAACGGCCGTTTCGTCCTAGTATGGGAGTCCTCAGAAGTGCACATCCACGACCTCGCTCCCCCAGAAGGTTCGAACCCAGGGCCTATCAGTCTCGTGCGTGAACGCTTAACCGTCAGACCAATGAGCCGGTATTCAACGGTGTTAATGTTTAACTTCAACCAATCCACGAAATTGACGCACCGCCCAATACTAGGACGAAACTGCCGTTCAGTACTTTCAGGTTTTCCATGGTGGTCTAGCTTCAATAGAATCAATAATATTTAAATTCTTAAGAATGTTTAATTGTAGTATGTTAAAATGAAACGTTTTTATAAAACGTAAACAAAACGAAGTGCAATTAATATGGCAAGAACTGACAATGATTTTTTTTTAAATTAAAGCGATCGGATGATACTGATTTTCATCGATATCATGAACTGATCCAAGTTATATAGCTATTAAAAACCTGGAAGTACTAGACGACCATTTTATCTTTGTGGGGGACTCTCCGGTGGCATGAATACACGTTACACAACACTCAGGTTTCGTGCGCTAACGCAACCAGTGAACCATTGAACCGTGGTCTATCGATGTACAAGTGTAACTTTAATCAGTTCGTGATATTGCGTGGCTATTTTCCATTCTCTTCAGTGAATACCTTCTTGAGATCCAGTATGGTTGAACTTCGCAAGTCAGGGCTTCTTACCATTTGTGATGTAAACAATCTCATACCGTGAATTTTGTTTTGGTAATATTAAATGAGAGACAGCTAAGAAGTAACCAAGTATAATAATTTTGTCCTTAAAGCCGTTCGAATTCTATCAGTTAGGTTGCAATAGGAATGAACGTAACGGTCAGTTGGAGGCCAAATAACTTAGTGTTGAATATTGGTTTTTGAAATAACCTAGATCCACCTTTCGGACAATTGCCATCTAGCACAATAATTAGATCCAGTGTACAACGCACAGAATATAAACGCCTGTGAACAGAGGATTAAAGGTTGTGGTTGAGATAAAGTCTAAGTGGCAACTAGTTCGAGTACCTAGGACATTATTAGACCTTCCACACTTTACCAGTTATGTAGATTATGTTGAGCTACGATTCAATATCATTGAACAATATCTAATTTAAAACATCAAATAGTTTTGGAACTAAAGCCTCAAGTTCTGCGTTCACATTCTATGAAACGACATATAATTCCATAATAAAGATAATGCCGTTTACATTGACATTACACTGTGTGGTGACTAACGTCATGTTTGTCTAGTCATTTTTACTGATCAAACATTATCAATAAAGTTTCTGTGTGCCCACTATCCTCAATGAGTCGACATCACGTGCACTATATTTTGCTGTCAGCATAAAACCCAAGATCTGTGTTTCGTGCTACTAGGAAATTTCACTGAGACAAGGTAGCAACTTTTTGGTTTTGGAGTTAACGTTAGTCTTGAATAAATATTATCTTTAACATTAAAATAACCTTTATTCATATATATTTACTTACATAATTTACTCATCGTAAATCAGTACTGATTACTTAATTGAATATAAACTTAATTAGTATAGGTCAATACACTTAGTAAAATGTAGAATATCACTTTTAATAATCTATAAATAATATATAGATATGTATTAATTATGCCACTTAGTAGTTAATTACCGTCATGCTTATTAACCATTAAACTGAATATTTGGTAAATATCAACTCAGGTTTCCATAACTTAATTGATACGAACTAACTTTGGAAATACATTATAAGGCTTTGTAATAGAAATATTTATTTGTTTAGAAAGTAAACAATATGGTGTGATTAAATACGTATATATCTATTTAATAGTTGAATTCATGAGTCAATTGAAGCTAGACCACCATGGAAAACTTAGAAGCAGTGGATGAAAAGGCCGTTCAGTGTTTCCAAGTTTTCCATGGTGGTCTAGCTTCAATTGACTCATGAATTCAACTAAATCTCCATAATATCTACAAAAGCCCTTCTCTGATTATAGTATATCTGTTTGTTAGATCGATTTTATATCTTCTTAATTTAAGTCACGAACTGATTTTAGCTATACAATTATTGAAACATACGAATGTCTGGATAAATTTTTCGCTTCAGCATAGGGCTCATCAAAAGTGTATATTCCATAACTTCATATCCGGAAATCGGAACTAGTAACTACAGTCTCGTGTGCATAAACCTAACCTATAAACCACTGAGTTAACACTTAGTAGCGTACAATTGTCTAACTTCAATCAACGCATAATTCTGTACAGTGTTCATTCATTGCCTGAGTTGGATAATTATTTTACATCGGACATGGTTGACATCATTGATTATTGTCTCATTGGTTTAGAAGTTAACCGATAGACCAATGATCATGGATTTAATTCCTATATTAGTGATCATAGATACTCACTGTTGATGAGTCTCATACTAGGACGAAAACGTCAAGTATCGATTTTTTCACAATTCTTAAATAAGGTTTAAAATATTTCAAAACCTAGAGAATATAAGCTGATCTATGAATAATGTATAATAATTTGTTATCTTGAACATAAAAACTCCTAAGATAACAATGAAAATAAATTCAATCATTATAAGATTTCTATAATTAAACAAGCCTATCATCTTTATTATGAAATCAAAATAATAAATGGCAAATTATAAAGTACCGTTATGAAATAAGAAAGAAATGATAAAATTCATTTATGATTTCTTTTAAAGCAGTCCCAAGAATACATATATATTTCAACAGTGTGTGTGTGCAATGACCTCATTCTTGGTTAAAATTCATAAGAGTGATTGCCAAAATATAATTCCCATTGAAATGGAATAAATGTAATCATAAATCAACATTGAACTAGACAACAAAAACAACGACGTTAGTAACAACGATAACAACACATATGTATTGCACAAATATCGTTTTCTTTTCTTTTCTCTTCTTTTTTTTTCTTTTCATTCCACAATAAAAAATTATCTTTCCTTATATGATAAAATACATTGAAAATAAAAATAGCAATTGTAGAATAGAAGTGAATTTTTATAGACAGATGTTTCAATAATAATAGTAAAATGTGGAAATAAATTAAGTCAAGTGAAATATGGTGAGGGTTTGTTAGCTCTTTACAGTGAATAATTTTTCTACAGAAAGACATTTTGATGAAACTAACATTGATGAACGACCTTTGAACGACAGTAAATTGACCTTGAAAGTGTCCATCTAATAACTACGATCATATAAGGGTTATAAACTAGTGTGAGGAATTAGAATTATGATTTATAGTTGATGATTATGGTTAGGAATTAAATTTAGGGTTTTCATCATGAATTGATATCAGTTATAATGCCAAAACTCTATGTGACCAAATGGATGGATGAATTTCGCGCCAAAATCCGAGATCTGTTATCTTATATCTGATTGGTTTGTCCATAAATGATCGTCTTGCCGAAATTTTTTAAAATGTAACATCAAAGAAATATATAGAATAATAAAACTGTCATAGAATAGATGGAATGAGACTAGTAGAGGAATATAGAACTTGTGCTTTATCTCATTCGTGTATGAATTCCATTTTAATGTGTAATAGTTAGGATTATCCTGCTGTTGATAATTTTACAGAATTCTCATTTGTCTTATTTGGTATATGTGTATCTTGTGTGAATTGCCTTGAAATACAGTTTTGGATCCGTCTCCTAGCCACGTTACATTTATTATATATAAACTAATGACACAATGTCTATATCAAGGTAATTCACACAGTATGCACATATGCCAACTAAACATGATCGAAATTCCATCAAAATATCAACAACAAGATAATGAAAACTACTAAAAATTAAATAAGTGAAATAACCAACATAAGGAGATATTTGATATTAGATGTATAATTATAATAATGTATAATTATAACTACAGTGGTGTGATTTTTCAGTTGTCCATTCGAATTTGATAATATTCAGTATGGTATTGTGGAGATTGTTGAGTTGAACCGATCAATGTTAGACTATCATTAAAAATCTGAGAGCACTAGACAACCGTTCGGTCCTAGTATAAGACTCTTTAGCAGTGAAAATTCATGACTAGTGGAGCTGGTATGTGTCACGTGTTAGGTAGTTACCTACCGAAGACCATGCAAGTTGGTTGCGCAACATCGTGGAATGGTTGAAGTTAGACATTAACACTGGAGGATTCTGGATTAGAGGTCTAAAGGTTAAGCGTTCGCGAGCAAGACCAAAGTTTCAGGGTTGAAATCCTGCGTGTTAGATCGTGGATGTGCACTGCTTAGGAGCCTCACACAAGGATAAAACGGCCATCCAGCGCTTGCAGGCTTCCGGAGGTGCTCTAACATTAATCGGTTCATGACCTCAATCAAAACTTAGCAATCCGCACAACCCTGCACTGCTAAAATATTTAGTGCTGTCATCCATGTTAGTGGTATATGACTTAAGCTGTCAAAAAAAGTTAACCTATTTGATTTGCTAATAGTATTGGGAGTCACTGACACATTTCAAAATAAGATTATTAAACCAGGAAACAATTGATTTTCAAGTTTATGAAGTCAAACCATGATGTATCACTATGATGAATAAAAAAATTTACTTCATTATATTCATTCTAGGAATTACAATTCACTCTTTATTATGATTGTATTTGAGTATATTTTTCGTAGTTGACTTACATCAGCATAAGAACCATTGTTGTATTCTGGTCTGGAACTTCCTAACTATGTGAAATTAAATCCACACACAAGAATCCACGAAACTGAGCGACACATCCACCATTGTCATCAGTGAGTTACTATCTCACTACAGAGCCGGTTGAACTCCACTGGTCACTGCTTCTTGAGGAGCCCCACAATAAGACAAAACGGCCTTCCAGGGCTTCCAGGTTTTCCATGGTTGTCTAGATTCAGTTGACTCATGATCTCAACTATTAAAATTACTATAATTTTTACAAAAACCCCTTCTGATAACAACTGAAGTGAATATTTTAGTCTCCTACATAAAAACACTTTACTTTTCAATTATATTTCTCATCTAATTGAAATTTGATTGAGGTTAGAAATGCAGTGCACTAAATAAATACTTAGTTATTCAGAAGCTAAGTGCCCGTGTACCAGATCTAAAGTATTGAGTCAGATCCCGTTAGTGTCATGGATGCGAACTACTGAAGATTCGCATATTAGAATGAAACAGCTATCTACTCTTTCTTGATATTCATTAGTTATCCAAGATCAATGAGTGATTTATTCTTTAAATGAAATTTAATTATTATCCTAATCTCTCTAATTCAGATATTCACTAAGATATCACCTTCATTGGTTATCTTACAAATCTGCTTTATGTAATCTTGTCTTTTTACGAGTACAGTTATTAAAGATTACATCATTTTAATAATAATAATAATAATAATAATAATAATAATAATAATAAATGTTGCCCAATGTTTTCAGTATGAAAATACTATTTTAATTAGTAGAGATAACAGGTAGAATTGTCTAGTTACCATCTGTTCTATGCACAAATTAGTCGTTCACATATATTAAGTATTATTATGTATTGTGTCTTTAAATGAAACAACTCGTATAAACAAACTAACAACAACAACAAACAAACAAACAAACAAAATCTACACATCACTATGGTTTACATTATGCTTGATTATTGTAACCTGTAAGTTTAACTATCCTAGATTTGTTACTAGTCATAAATTATGTAATATCTTCACGTTGTTTTTTGGTGTGTGTGTGTTTGGTGGGAGGGGGGGGGGTAAATCTCAAAATTTTAGTTCGTATAAACATTATAGATTAACAGTTATAGTATTCGAAATTGAAATCTGTAAATATATATATTGATAGATTGAAGAGGATGTACCTTGGGTTTATGAAAGATATCATTTCCACTTGCAGTAATGAACGTTAACAAGCTTTCTCAAGTAGTGAATCATTTTCTTATATTAGATTAGTTATAATTTCATCTATAATCTAGAGTTATCAATACTAGGACCTATTCAATAAAATGATCAAGTTATGATTCGAATCAAAATTTGTAGAGAACTATTCTCTAGGGTTATTGTAATGAATGAGAACAACAGTGTAGAGAACCAAATGTATTTGAATATAAAATTACAGAACGTCTTAGCAAAATTTGAGAACCATACACTAAATACTTCATTTGTAAACTATCAGTTAATCGTCTCAGACTTCATTGTTCTTTTGTTTCTACATTTATTATTCTCTGTTCTCGTTCTGTTTTCTTTGATCTTTTTAACTGTCTGCTACCAGGTTTTTCACTTTCGATTGATGATATATACTATTTATATCTATCGATATCAGTATATATATATTACTAATCATGTATGCCTTATAATTAAAATGAATACTATATTAATGAATTTATTTCCCTTATAATTTTAGTTCAATATTGCTCAAGGTACATGTATGCGAAAATTAATGCGTATGCATTATTGTGCATTATGCGCTGGTGAAACTTTAACAAGACCATGTCCTGAATTATGTTTAAAAATTTTATTAGATTGTTTAAGACCACTTAGTCAACTTAATCCACAATGGTATCGTTTCACAGGTAAGATGAGTTTATTTTATATTTATGAATCATTTACAATGTAATCACAAATTTATTAGATAGTTAGTTAAATACATTTTAGTTGATGACTATCAAAAGGGCTTATCTAAAATTTTAAGGAATTGACCCCTCATAATGTGATTCTAGATCTATTAGTACTATAAGACTATTCATATTGAATTAGATATTGGAAGTTATAAGGTGAGTTGAATGGTGGCTAGGATGAGTATTTCATGTCATTTGTACTGTTTCAATCTTGAATATCAACAGCTGGATAACTGAATGCCTTCTTAATAATTATAGAGTTTTTTATTGGTAATGTATTCAATTATTGACTCACTTATTTCTCAAGATGAATGCCAATAAGTTTATTAACTCATGGCAATGTACATAAATCAAAACACAATGTAACAGATACCAATTCTTTACAATTAAAAAGCCTGTTATACACCAGTCGCATGAACCTTGTAAAGTTAAAATATCAAGTAATTATATTTCGAACAATACTGCTTTTAAGCAAAGATGAATGATGGCTGGTTGTGGAATCCAAGATGCACGTTTCGTTCTATTCGGGACTCGTTAGCTGGACTTAACTGCATCACAGAGTTGATGTACGCTCCGGGACTCCAACACAGTACCGTTCTCTTCAAACGCTATCGCGTTATCCACTCAACTACTGAGCCCCGATAGACACCTGCTTGTGCAATGGAGTGAAGTTTAAATTCACTTGGTGTTGTTTTACTTGAATCTTCCCATTGTTATTTAGGACTGCCATTGATCAGTCTCATGTTGGTATATTTGCATCCTGTGAGGATTGCCTCGATATAGCTTTACGTCACAAGCTTTTTAAGCAAAGATGGATAGTGGCTAGCAGTGGAATCCAGGACGCGCGTTTCGTCCTATTTGGTTCTCGTCAGCTGGATGTGCCTGCATCCCAGAGTTTATGTTCACCTTAAGACTCATAGTTTGTCTACAGTTCAACTACTGAAATAATAATGAATTCATGGTAATATTTTCCTTTTAACTTGAGAATCATCAACAATGACCATATTTATCCGGTATGACCTTAAAACCTATGAATCATTACGTTACTGCTATATATGTAAGAGTAACTCAGTTGGAATCTAATATCATTTTAACATAACATTTTGATTTCATGTTATTAATAGGTTACTATCTCACTTCTGAATTGGTTAATTTTCCACATATAGATTTATTACTAGTACAATGGTAATAAACCTGTACTTTTCTATTATAATATAGAGATACCATCAAACACTCTAATTATTTCTGTGAAACTGTTTCAATCAAAAACTATTTGAATTTTACATAACTATCTCTCATTAGAAAGCAACTTGTTATTATTCAGATATAAAAAAATGCATGTTTTATTTTTGTTTTCCTAATCTATCAATAGAGCTTAATCTTCTTTGAAACAATATTGTATTTCTTGTAATACATTTGACCTGAAAACAATATTCTATATTTGATAGGTTACCTTGTTGTTACTGATTGCTAAGATGATTACTAATTAAAACATTCACTAGTGACTAATCAAAATATAATCACTGTCTTATACGGAAATTATTCAATGTTTCAATGGTGCCAAAGTGTATACCAGTCAGTAAAAAAAAGGTTAATCCCAAACATGACCTTGTGTGTATGTTTGAATAATAAACTGACAAATAATTAATGAAAAACGATAAAGCAAAGATGAATAGTGGTTAGCAATGGAATCCAGGATGAGCGTTCCGTCCTATTTGGGATTAGTCAGCTGGATGTATCTACATCCCAATGTCGATTTTCACTCCGGGACTTTGCCTGAGAAGCTTATGACTTAAGGCAATATCGAGGCAATTCGAACAGGATGCAAATATACCGACAAGAGACTGATCGATTGCAGTCCTTAACAACAATGAGAAGATACAAGCGAACAAAACCAAGTGAATTTAAAGATTGTTTTTGTACTTTTTACACCTTGTAAATAATGCAATCAGAAATAGCTGTTCATTGCTGAAAATAACCTGAGTAGTTTAAAGTTCAGTTGTGTTATTTTTACCACACTTACAATGTTTATATTAAACTCAAATTCTGTCACTTGGACATTAATGAAATGTTTGAAGTTGATCATGTTTGGCTTCCTAGAAGATCCCTAACTAGGATGAAAAAGCTTTCCAGTTCTTATTGGGTTTGAATTAGTTCTCTTACTGATTTTAGATTTTAACTGAAACTTTTTCCACACTAATTAAATGCTCAAAACCTACTTAACAAAATATTCTGTGATATCGTAATTAAGTGCCAAGTTGAAATGTTCCTTAAGAGAAGATATATAATGAACTGGTAAGGGAACCGAATCCTATTGCGTAATCATTACTTTCATTGACAGAATTTTCTGGCCAGAAAGTTGAAGATCAAAAAACGTTTTTTCCGAATGAATTACAGTAATAAATCACCAATCAATAATTAATCTCAGCTATTAATTCGAAATAAACTATATTGATTAGAACAGAATATGGTTACTAGGTCCAGTTCTCTAACATTCTGGTACATTGTCTGATGTTGTGGAAATTTCCATTATGACATTTAACAGAAGGAACGAATGGAACGAAAACATTTCTTTTCAATTAGTTTTTCATCATCGCTCTACACTCACAGATATTGTTGTCACTGTTATCATTCCCACCAATCTGATATTACTCTTTATAATTTCATCTTTCGGTGAAAATCTCTTATGGGTAACTTGAATCGATGGATATATTTGCCCAAGTTCTATATTGCCTATGATTCACCTGATTGAAATCATCCACAGTATTAGTTCTCCTCAACAGTGAAATAATAATTATTGAGCAGTAGTGTTACGTAATAATTATATAATGTCACATTGATTATAAAATGGTATTAGGTAATTAAAAAAAAAGAGAATGATAATGATCAATGTAAATTGTTGATAGTTGGACTTATAACTAAGTTTCAACTGGGTGCACCAGAAATATTGAGCCAAATTATATCTTCCATAGCAGTCACTATCATGATCGGAGACATTTTAATTTTGGTGAGCTATATACTATTTCTAAAGTTTTACTACAAAAAAGAATTTCATGGATTTGACAAGATTCAGTTTTTCTTTTGCATTTTTGAAACGCTGAATAACTGTGTTTCACTGGCTTCGGTAAATATTTAGACATATTGGCATATAATTCCCATCTAAACATTAAAAACAGGAGGTTCGGCGAAGAGATCTCTTTTCAGTGTTTTATGCAGCAAAGCTTAGAATAACGTTCACTAGTAAGAACCTGCTTTCTCTATCCGTAGAGGATAGATATGCCAGTCTGTTCGCCTCCATGTGCATCTATTGGTTCATTTGCTCTTATGAGCATGGTACATAAGCTATAGTCAGTGCTTGCGTTCAGCTCAGATACGAGAAAAAGTCACAGTGTGGCTCTACAAGGATGAGAGGAAAGAAGTTTCATTCTTGAACATCTAATCGACTGTAATCACTCTATCGATCCACAGGTTGGTTTTAAGAATGTTTACAAAATTCATCTAAATCCACCTAGGTTTCTTCTTATTCAACTCTTTAAAATGGCAGAAGCTCTTTGCCATCCATGATTTAAGGCTAGAACTGTTTGTACAAAAGAAGTGCACCTCATCGTTATCGTTACCTTGGCCTTCAACTATTATTATTATCATCATCAGTGCTTCATTTTGTACCTAAATATACCCCCCTCTCTCTTCTTAATTATATTTCATATCCTCATAATTGCTTCTGTTATCACTCCATTACATTTTTACTCCTCTATTACCTTTAATTATTGTAACAAACATATTTTAATTACCTTACTTCATTCACACAACAATCCGTTGCTAACTTATTAATTTGACAAGTCTTTCTATTCGCACATACGGAATCTCTTATTGTTATTATCTATATTACGTAACCTAATGTTATAATCTTTCTATTAAATCACCATATTTATTCCCTGTTCATTTGTCTACACAGAACTAATAATTTAACAAAATGTATTCATATATATACGATTGTACAGCTTGAAAATAAGTTCGTTGAAAAGAAATTCCTTCTCTTAAGTTCATGTTCATTGTAGAGAAATAATGCAGTTCTTAGTCTTCACGTACTCATATCTTGAATTAATTTTCGTTGTGAATTAAAGAATTAAACTAACATCACTACACCTTTGTTAAAATTCATGTCCTTTTACAACTTTTGAAATTAGTCCAAAATTACATTGATACATTTTTGCATAAGGTTTCTTAACTACTTATAAATTTTAAGTAGACAAACGCTTCTTGTTAAAGGACCTAGGGTATGTTTGGACAATGGTTAACTATAATAATGGTTATAATAATAACAACAACAATAATAACAACAAGTCTCAAACATTCTGAAAACGATTACGGAATGAATACCAGTTTAAAGGTCGTAGCAGTCAGCATTCTGAGTAACAATTTTGTCACATGATATTTGACGGGCCTAGGACATAGCAATTTGGATTTCTGTATGTTACTAATCATTTATTCTTCGTACGGATATAACAGCAGTTTAAATTCTTCTCAGATGATACTAAATAACTATTCGGCTTTTGATATTTTACTCTAAGAAGGCTAACTCGTAGACAATTAGGAAATCGTAAGCGAGTAAGCGAGCATTATTTGATTCTAGTCTAACTGAAAAAAAACTATATTTGCATGAGAAACATATAAAAGAAATGAGAAAACCTGAGAGCAAGGAAAGTAAAGAATAGTGGGATATCTCTCTTTATCAAAATATCAGATTCCCCATGTCCATACTATTGCATTATTCCAATATTATAGAGCTTTATAGTTAGATGGAATTAAAAATGATCGATTTCCTAATCGAATGATTCAAACTTTTCATTGGTACCCAGTAAGTTACCAAAGAAAATTTCAATATTCAATAAAGGTTCTCTCTTACTGAATTAAAAAAGGGTTCATTGTCCTACTATTTATTGTTATTTTTATTATAGAAATTATCAAAAGTGTGGCAGATATATTTTTAGAGAAACCACAATTAAGATTAGAAAGTCAATTGGATGATTTTCCAGAACATCTTGTAAATTATTATCATCAATTATTGCATACCTATCACAACTGGGTAAGAGATGATTGCGTTTTTTGTTTCCAGATCAATTTAGTTGTAAATATGGCATGTATTCATCTAAGTAAACAAATTAGTTTAATAATGAATGTATATAAAGTATTATTTCACTGTATAATTAAACTTAGTATTTGTTATATGTAGTGAATTTCTAGAGAATGAGTCTATCCTTTTCAATTATTAAGTAACGCTAGTGTAGTGACATAAGTTGACTATGAACAATTCCAGGTTTTCTGCTTTGTCAGTTGTACTATATATTACATTTTATGGAAAATGAAATGTTCCGTTCAATTGAATATAACCGATTAACAAAATAAATGTGTATGTATTTATTGACTATGATTTGGCATTGGTCTTGTATATGAGAAATACACTTACTTACGCCTGTTATCCCTCGTGGAGAAGCAAATGCGGCATACCAACACTCTCCATCCAACTTTGTACTGAGTAATCTTTTCCAGTTGCTATTCATCCTTTTCATGTCTTCTTCTGATTCTCGACGTAGTGTGTTCTTCGGCCTTCCTCTTTTTCGTTTACCTTCAGGATTCCAAGTTAGCTCTTGCCTTGTGATGCAGATTGACGATCTCCTCAATGTGTGTCTTATCCATTTCCAATGTCTTTTCCTAATTTCCTCCTCAGTCGGAAGTTGTTTTGTTCTCTCTCACTGTAGGTTGTTGCTGATGGTATCCAGTCAACGGACATTCAGTATCTTACGTATGAGACATCCACTAAGTTTGAGATAATGCTAATGATTTATATCATGCTTGAATATAGTTAATCAAGTTTGCATGTTTTCTGAATACTGTATGGGCTCTAGTGCTTTGTTTGTGTAGTAGTGGTGAGCATTGTTCTGTTGTTCATCATTCATACTAATACTCAGCAATAATTGAAATTGTTTTCTTCAAACTTTGCACTCTACCATTTCTTGTTTTGACACTGGCAAAAGTCAGTGAGATAGAAACTTGTATTACGAATGTCGAGCTACTGTTATCTAAGTTCAACTGAAATGTTCTACAACTGAAATTCTGTATTATAGTTGGTTTATTCGGAGATAGTTTTTTCATCGTTGACTTATATCAGTTAATAAGTCATCAAAAATCAAATAGTAATTGATAACTGTTTCATCTCATTTAGGGGTGATAATTGTTAGTATCTATCCACGAAATTGAACAGTATTTGATCAACAACGTCAAATTTTCCCAGCTATATTAACATTTGGATTCTTCACAATCAATTCAAATGGTGAAAACTATTAAAATTAATAAACTGCTGAAATCTCCGCTCACATAATTCTTACCATTTTCATGGTTACTTTAATGAACTGATCTTAGTTAAACAACTATGAAACATCTGGAAGTTCTGGATAGCTATTTCTTTCAAGCACGAGAATCAGCAGATTGCATGCGCAACCCTACTACTATAGAGAATCGAACTATTGGTCGCGCTATCCAACGCCTGGTCTCTAGACCACTGAGTCGACATCCTTCTACTTCATTAGATCATTATTTGTCGTGACTAAGTGTTATGATCATTTTTACTGAGTTCATCATATCTGTCATCGCTTCAAATTATAATATTATAATCATGTACCTTATTTGCCTTCTTCTGATTTCAGTTACGCACGAAAGGTTTATAATTTGATCCGATTTTCTCGTTTTAGTCAGATGTTATTACTAAAATTTCTATTCAACTAGGATTGACACAATCAAGGAAATTTAATATCTGTCTTAATAATAATTAACTCTACTTTTAAGTATTCTCTCTGGAAGCAACCTCATTTAGAATTTCCAAACCCGATACACACACTTTTCAGCCGTCTAACTTTGACATGCGAATATCATTAACTCAGAGCACTCAAGTAGTAATCTAATTGTGACTAAATCGATTTCATTCGTAGTTCATGACCTAATTGAACTTTATGTGTTCGTCGTCGAGGAATGTCAATGGTATGGATTCCCCAACTTCTAGCGAAAAGTAATGGTTGGTTTACATAGATCAGTCAGCCATGTCATGATTGTGAGAGATATAACTCATGGCAGTGGATAGTCGTTAATTTAACAAGACTGGATTTATAAATAGTGATGATTGGATCCTCGCTTGATGATCTAAAAGTAATGTGTTGACAACAAGACCTAAAAAGTCTAATTTTAGATTTTAAACTAGTTCATGTATATGCACTTTCATATGGTCCTAGGCCATAATGAATCAGCTGCCAAATACCTTCAAGTTCTCAATAGCTCAATGTCTGATATCGATTTGTGACGAAAACGATCTTTTGCAAAAAAATAAGCCTAGTTAAATCTCATAAACTTTGAAAACATTCATTTGTTATTTTGTTTTGACTGCTATCACACCTTATGTACCAACCTTTTTCTTTTCTCATTACACAAGTTACAACCTCAATGTTCTGGGATAAAAAGATTATACAATGTATTTGATCAACTTAAAAATAATTCCAAAGCTATATTTCAACCATTAAAGAGTAATAATACAAAACGTTTAAAACAACATAAAAAGATATTTGAACAAATGAAAACAACTGTAAGTAAATCAATTCAATTTATACAACTTTTGAAATAATGAAAATTATACATTTTGTAAATTAGAACATCTAATCAGTATGTATCTCAATGATATTGTAATGAATGAGAACAAAGTTAAAGACAATCAAATGTATTTCAATATGATATTACAGAATGTTATAGTATAATCTGAGAACTATACAGTAAATAGGTTTTATATATTTTTTTAGCGAGTTAGTTTTCTATGGGATGAGGTCACTAACCTTATGCCCAACCCTCCCCCTTTATCTGGGCTTGGGACCAGCAGTAGCCCTAGAGTGGCTCCAGCTGGAGTTACAGTAAATACTTCATTTGCAAAATATCCATCAATTGTTTTTCATTCGTTTCCATACCAATTACTCTCTGTTCTCGTTCTCTTCTTGTCGATTTTCTCAACTTTCTGTCACCAGGTATTCCACTCTCGATTGGTGATACATACTACTTATATCTATCGACATCAGTTGTACACACTGTAATATGACTTTTGATATACCGAGTGATTCTGTAATTGGATATGCAAAAAATCTAATTCAGACCTGGCATCCCAGGCTACTAAATGTAATCTTTAAACCACAAATGGGAGTTAAATTGTGACCATTCAGGCTTACGGGCAGAGAACTGTACTATTCATTGACTAATCATTTACTAAGCGGATATTGATTTATTGGCGAGAGAAGATAAAAGACAGATAAAGTAAAAATCTTTATATTCGAATTTTAATCCAACTCAAAAAGATGCACAATTAAATATGCGACAAAGTAAATCACAACGTATAATGAACTCAAGCATATAATATCCGCCCAAATAGGGCATTTAGGGTAGACAAATAGAAAACAAGGCTCGTGTTTAAATTAAAACAAATTTAAAACCGAAAAAGATATAACAGTAGTTTATAGGTTAATCAGAAGTTTATACCTGAAGAAATCAAAGAAGTCACATAAACCAAATGTTAGTAATTACTTACTAAACATCAAGTGTATTAATATTTCAAAAAGTAGCTTACACCGTCAATCATTTCTTCTTGTATCTTCTCACAACATTCAAACATTTTACTACGCTCATTGAATAGGTTTGCTTCGCGTAGAATTATTTAATTACCATTAGCAAAGTGTATTATACCTAAAAAAACAATGTTGGAATAAATCTCAACATCAAATAATGACCTAATTAGTTTCTAAAATGAATAAGTCAATATTTCGTTTATTTATTTATTTGAACACGTAAATATTGGTACAAAGGGGCACCGAACACATATGCACCACACACGTCACTTATATGTGTGTGGACGGTGATACTACCTGTGTGCGTACACCGAAGCAGCTAGTTTTCTTAGGGAACCAAGCCCGGAGCCTTCGACTTCAAGGTCTGATCCACAAGACAATGGAAAAACGTCAGGAGATGCAGTCCCATGGTAGCCGGTGACCAACGATTGGTTTATGCTCCATTTCTCCCCTCAGGATCCTGGAGCCCATGTGCACCATTGGTTTGGAATCAGGGTTTTCCAACTCCTCTAGGCCGATCCTCTACATCCACCAACCAACCCAGTTAAAGCGCCAGACAATACCTTTTCGTCCTCTCGATTTCGTAAACAACAGTAGTGCCACGAGAAAGCAATGAGTTGGGCTTCCTTGGCAGTGGCTATATACGAGTGACCATGTGAAAGCATTTTCAGAGGAAGAGTTAACTCTCCGCACTCTCGGTCGTACCAGGGCATTTTTGAGGCAATGATATTGACAATTGATACACATAAAAACACTCAGTAAGCAATGAAATTTTTACTTAACAAAATCTGTGCGTTTTGAGGAAGCCTAGAAATGATAAAATGGTTGTATTTAAGTCAAATAAAGAGCAATATCAATTCAATAAATTATGTTCAATGTTCCAATTTATTAGAAACGACTCCACAAAAGCAGGAAAACCATAACCATTTTAAACCCTTTATTTAGTGTCATATGTTTAGTTGCTGTTATGGTGTGCGCTACTGATGTTGACAGATATAAGTAGTATGTATCATCAATCGAAAGTGAAATGCATGGTGACGGATGGTTAAGAAAATCGAAGAAAAGATCGGTATGGAAACGAAAGAACAATGAAGTCTGAGAAGATTGATTAACATTTTACAAATGAAGTATTTACTGTATGGTTCTCAGGTTCTACTAGGACGTTCTGTATTCAAATACACTCGATTGTCCCCATTTGTGTTCTCGTTCACTACACTGTGAATAATTCACAATGGAAGTATATAATATACTGATAATAAATCCCAATTAAATAGTCGTTTAACTTAGTATAATCCAAAGAATACATGCACAGAAACAAGGTTTTTAACGATGATCACCTGGTTCATAGTCTGAGATGTTATCACTGAGACAATAGCTAACCTACTGTAGGAATGAAATGTATACAATTGATCATTAATTGAGTAGTGACTAGTATCATATCTATTCCTTTACTTCTAATCGGACTCAATCAATCAAGTTACAATTCAGTCATTAGTCTGAGTAACTCGACATTGTGTACAGCACATTAAGATACTAGGTGGTTGGAGTTAAAAGGCAAAGTTCCAGGAAAGACTTGTTAACGAGCGAAAACTAGATTCAGGGTTTTCTGTTGACGATTTTTAGTCATCTAACAACCTGACATGGTTCACGCTATGTTCAGCCACCTAGCTACATTGCAACTTGATCAGTAGAATTCGATCGACACTAAAGGATAAGGCAAACATCGAATCCGTCACTCAGTAACTAACACATTAGAAAAACGATCCTGTCCATTAGATTCGTTCAAAAATAAGCTTCATGAAACAGTATTTTTTAAACGAAACATTTTACATGCCATTTTTATTTGTATCACATCATCTTCCATCGTCGTTATAAAATTCATATGAGAGCCTCACCGTACGTTTTTAAACTTTAGAATAGATGAATTCACTTGGTGTTGTTTTACTTGTATCTTCCCATCGTTATTTAGGACTTCAATTGATCAGTCTTATGTTGGCATATGTGCATCCTGTTCGGACTGCCTCAATATAGCCTTAAGTCGCAAGCTCTTTAAGATAGATGAACTAGAATATACGTCTTTTCCAAGGATCTATCACAATTACCTGAATACTCTGTAATGCCTAGTAAAGCAATTGGAAAGCAGTCCTAAAGAGTAGTTTAAATTAGGTTTAATAATTGCTCAGAATCACTCTTAGGAAATAAATAAAGGTCATTATTTATTTGACTAAACATTCAGCGATTTCTTCATATCAGTTATTAATTTGATGTAATTTTATCCTTCCAGATGGATGAAATCACAAACATATGGTCACGTTCAAGTACAGCATTGTGCTTAGAATCACCTTATCTGGCTTTACTCAATAGAAGACGTGATCAATGCTGGAATGGAACAACTATTTCAAGGTACAGATTTTATAAATAGTTGTAACCTCCTCGAAATTAAGCATAGAAATTGAAATCGAAATCCTCTGTACAGCAATAATATTATTATTTGTGAATCTTTTTGCACAAGCCGTAAAACTACTTTTATGGTGTTTACTGTACACCACATGTCATGTAATTTTGCCATAACTTGCACTAAAAAATAATCAAAAGTGAAATCTCTCAGTTTTCCTAGATATTAGTGTCAATGTTAGTTATACTTGAAACGTCTGAAATGATAAAAAATATTTGCAGCTTACGTGGATATTTTAAGAATGCCGAGCTCTCTGAGCTAGATGATTTAATTGTAGAACTTTCATTGTCATTTTGGACAACATCTTCAGAGCATATTTCAAGAAGAACCCCCTAAATTAAACCATTTAGCTCAGAGATCTAAAAACCAACAAAATACTTGAAATTATTATTAGTTTTAAGAAAGGCAATATCATTTTTTAATCATATCAATATAAAACTGTGAAGGATGATATAAAAAAACATCAATAGGTTTTAAATGGTAAACTTCTAGTTAAGAAATAGGAATTTTAAAAAGTTACTTTCAGGCAAAATTCTTTGATAATTCAAAACTGAAGGCCCTGGGTTCAAATCTTTCGAGCGGAATCGTGGATACGCACTGCTGAGATGTCCCACAGTAAGTTGAAACGGCCGTCCAGTGCTTTCAGGTTTTTCATGATGATCTAGCTTTTATTGACTCATAAATACAAGTATAAAATTACTAAATTCTCCACAAAACCCCCTTCTGATAATATTATTATTCTGTAAGAGTTAGTTTTCCTTGAAACAATCTGGTAAATTACAAATGAATAGCTCAATGTTTTCACTCCATTCATACTTTATTTAATAATTAGTTTAATGATGATTATTATTTACAGATTGAAATCGTGAGTCAGTTGAAGCTAGACCACCATTGAAAACCTGGAAGCACTGGACGGCCGTTTCGTACTAGTACGGGACTCCTCAGCAGTGCGCATCCAGGTCCTGGGTTCGAATCCCGCGGGGTGCGGGATCGTGGATGCGCACTGCCGAGGAGTCCCGTACTAGGACGAAACGGCCGTCCAGTGCTTCCAGGTTTTTAATGGTGGTCTAGCTTCAACTGACTCATGATTTCAATCTGTGAAAATTTCTAAAATCTCCACAAACCCCTTCTGATGATTATTATTTAATCTCATTTTATTTAACCTAAATATGATTTAAAACAATTAGTCCATATGATAAATTTCGATAATACAATTAGAAGACGAAAGTTATCAGAATTATGTGATATATTTGCGCAATGCATTTTGAACAATCTGACCACACACATATACTTATTCGAACGTTTTTATATGAAAATTAAAAGGTCAACTAGATAGGTTAATGTAAGACGTAACAAAGAAAAATAAAGTACACAAAAACAATGTGATAACCACTCTGGATAATAAACCACTATTACCAGGGTAGGTTCACGGTAAGAACAAATTGTTTTTGAACACATAAAGGGGATTTCAGTTTCCGTGTAGTCAAGGCTTTAATAAACCTTAGTATACATCCTTGAAGGTTTATGTACAACACTACATATGATGACTTGATATCAACTTTATGAACAGTCTCAACTAATTGTTTCGCAATGGAGGAAGGTGTCTGTCTATCGTGTGATTTTATTTGACCATTGGAATCGATTTGTTCCTGTAGCCATTTGAGTATATGTTCCGCCACCGTTAATTACAGACCGCAATTGCTCCTCCTTATGTACATGTTTCCGCACATACATGTAAATTGGTAGACACAATAAATGAAACACAGACTTTGTCTTTTCATTAATGACAAGTTGGGCTGCATAAAATGTCCTGTTGATAGATAATTTAAGTCTCTGTTTCAAAATAAGACTGTTTGAGTCACCTCTGAATGGTAACATAATGTAAACTCGCTTTATAGATGCCAGAAGTGTCAAAGGTCTAATCGGATTACAACCCTTCCAGAGGTTTATGAACTTCAATGAACCACTATTTACTAACATTTCAGTCAAAAGCTTCGTCTCTACTTTAACAGTATAGCCAGTATAATAATGGTTACTCAATACCACATATGGACTGAAGTTAGTAATGTGTACCATAGAATTCTAACCTAGTTGTTAAAGGTTAAATGTACGTTGAGAAATATAAAAATTGATATGTTATAAGATCACTTACCTAGTACTCTAAGTAAAGCGAGTAGCACTGAAATCCAGGATGCGTGTTTCGTCTTATTTGGAACTAGTCAACTGGATGTATCTGCATCTCAGAGTTGATGTTCACTCTGAGACTCAAACCCAGTACCGTTCGCTTCAAACGTCATTGCGTTACCTACTTAGCTACTGACTCCTAATAGACACTTGTATGTTAAATGGGGTGGAGTTATTGTTAACCTGAATCTTCCCATTGATGTTTAGGACTGAAAGTGATCAGCCGCTTACTAGCATATGTACATACTGTGCGTATTACCTAGTTATTGCCTCAATTCATAAGCATTATAAGCAAAGATGGGTAGTGCCCAGCACTGGGATCCAGAATTTCTCCAAAATCTCAAATACTACTTAAATTGTACAGTTTGTTTTCATGTCACATTTAAAAATAATTTTTTGACAGTTTTAATGAAGAGGAATGTACATTTTGTCAACATGAACCAAAATTACAAGAAACTATTGTTACAAGTTCACAAAATGAAAATTATAATGAGAAGTTATCACCAAGTCGAAAACAACGAACATCATTTATACCAACGAATGATGTACAACAACAATCAAGTGTCAGTGAAACAGATGATCTATTATCAGCTTCAATTGCATCAACTAACTATTTATTGAATAATCCATCATGGAATTCTCCATTACAACATGATGTAAGTTAATTAGAGTTTGGAGTGAACTAGTATTAAATAAGTAATAATTTGATTTTAGACTTTGAAATGAAACTATATAAAATAAGTTTTAGTATGATTGTAAACTGTGATGTTTCAGAGTTTTCCTCAACAATGAACTATTTATGAAATCAATGCAAACTGTTTATTGGCTTTCATTACGTTGAATTTTATCGACAAACATTCTGCAATAATAATATAGCGTCTTAGTGATTAATTTTAGGATGTAATCCCAGAACTTTTGATGAGAAACCGTGACACGAGAAATCTAGTGATGTCAAGTATGAGGCACTCAGCCATTAGTAACGTTTGAACATGGTTGCATTATGTAGTGAATTGATTGGAGTTAAGCACTTAGACCATTACCTTTTGGTCATGGTATAAAGTCTAAGCGTTCTCCTCAAAATCCGAAGGTCCTGGGTTCGATTTCATGTAATTTGGTCATTGATTCCTACTGTTGAAAAATCCTATACTAGAGCGAAGCATCTCTTCAGTGCTTCCTGCTTTTCAGTGGTGATCTAGATAACATCAGTTCCTAGTTTAAACTATGAAGAATATATGTAAAGTGGAAACATTTCCGTATTAACATAATTTTGTTTTCAGTATACATTTGTCATTATTTTTTGAAAGTATTGTGTTCATAACCTACCATTGTAACTGATTTTAATAATAAAATGAAGGAACAAACGAGTTTAAAATAATTTCAATGGTTAAGATCATGAGCCAGTTAAAACTAGACCACCATGGAAAACCTGGAAGCACTGGACGACCGTTTCGTCCTATTGTAAAAATTCCTATAATGCAAATTAAAACATCGTGTATAAGTGTACAGTATTGTTTTCAATTAGATCCTGATCAAGTTTTGCACTAATATACTGTAATATTTCTATGCATATATGAAAAATAGTTAAATCGATCAAGGCAATTTATGGGTCAATAATTACAGCGAAACAGATTACATAACCACACATTATAAGTAAAAAGTACAAACTGATAGTATGATGATAGGTGTACTAGATGTAACAGAATTGATTAAAAAAAACCGAATCAAGGTTTTATAACAGAAAGTAGGTCAAAAAAACTTGGAAAAAATGGCAGCGAAATGATACTGGTTTGATATTTTCACGTATCCATATAAATATTAATGTGTATTAGAGTAACGATGTGCCTTTTCGTTATGATAAAGCACAATAAGTGAATATATCTTAATCTCTTCGGCTTCCAAATTAAAATAACAATCCATGATTAGTAAATTTCTTGTTACCATCACTTTCGTGATCAGGAATCGTCATTGCATTTATCTTTGAGCGAAGTGATTTTTCAAAATATAAAAATATCTGTTAACCCTAGGATTTCTTCTATCAACCAAAATGTTACTAAATGTTAATTTATGGTCACCACTGTAGTTGGAAAACTTCGTTACACGATTAGAACCTATCTCCTTGTAAATTTGAATTTCTTTGTGGTTGCACTTGTCTCTAAGTGCTTTCAGAAATACTTCACGATTAACAAGATACTTATACATTCAAAACTTTCTGAAATATTTATTGCTACTTATTAAGATAAAGTAGTTAAAAGTCAAAGAAATAGAAATATAAATTAATCTTGTCAAAAGTTGCAAATATCTGGTAAGATAACTTGTAGTTTTGTTATATTCATAGAAAATACTTTTAATTAAATGCTCTCAAATCAGAGGTTATTCTGCAGACCAGATGTATTACATGTACAGTGTACATTTTTGATTGAGATCATGAATCGATTGATGTTAGACCACCATTGAAAACCTGGAAGCATTGGATGACCGCTTCGTCCTGGAATGGGACTCCCCAGCAGTGCGCACATAGGATCTCGCACTCGGGATCCGACACGGATTGGACTCCACTTCTTACTTCAGGTAGGTATCTGCCTCAGACAATGGATGAATGGTTGCGCAGCCATTCATATATCGATAGAAGTTAGACATTAACACTATTGGATGCCGGTTCAGAGGTTATAGGTTGAGCGTTCGCGCGCGAGACCGAAGATCGTGGGTTTGGATCCCGCTTACAGGATCGTAGATGCGCGCTACTAGGGAGTCCGATACAAGGACGAAATGTCCGTCCAGTGCTTTCGTAATGTGTTCTTTGGCCTTCCTCTTTTCCGCCTTCCCTTCAGCATTCCAATTTAGGGCTTGCCTAGTGATGCAGTTTGATGATTTGCGTAATGTATATCTTATCCATTTCCATCGTCTTTTCCTAATTTCTTCTTCAGCTGGAAGTTCATTTGTTCTCTCCCACAAAAGGCTGTTGCTGCTGATATCCGGCCAATGGATGTTGAGTAACTTGCGAAGACAACTATTTATAAATACTTGTACCTTCTTGATGATAGTTGTTGTAGTTCTCCAAGTTTCAGCTCCATACACTAGAACTGCCTTGACGTTCGTATTGAAGATTCTCACTTTGATTTTGGTTGAAAGTTGTTTTGAGTTCCATATGTTCTTCAGTTGTAGGAATGGGGCCCTTGCTTTGCCAATCCTCGCCTTTACGTCTGCATCGGATCCTCCTTGTTCATCGATGATGCTTCCTAGGTATGTGAAGGACTCTACATCTTCCAGAGTTTCGCCATCAAGAGTGATTGGATCACTTTTCTCCGTGTTGTATTTGAGGACCTTGGTTTTCCCTTTGTGTATGCTGAGGCCTACTGATTCAGAGACTGCTGCTACACTGGCTGTCTTTATCTGCATCTGTTCGTGTGTATGCGATAGGAGGGCTAGGTCATCTGCGAAGTCCAAATCGTCTAATTGGTTCTGAGCTGTCCATTGCATTACGTGTTTTCCTTCAGATGTCGAGGCCTTCATAATCCAGTCGACCATCAGAAGAAAGAGGAAGGGAGAGAGTAAACAGCCTTGTCTAACTCCGGTTCTTACTTGGAATGCGTCTTTCAGCTGTCCTCCATGCACGACCTTGCATTGTAGTCCGTCGTATGAATTCCAGATAATATTGACAATCTTCTCAGGAACTCCGTAGTGTCGAAGAAGTTTTCATAACGTCTTCCTATCTACACTGTCAAATGCCTTTTCATAATCAATGAAGTTGATGTACAGTGACGAGTTCCACTCAACTGATTAGAACATTAAACCATTAATAAAATAAGATAGGACATTTTTTGGATGATCATATGACCATGTCCAGTGGTCGACTTTTAATTTTCCCCAATGTATTAGTACTTGTTAAATGTAGCGTTTTTTTAATATATTCTCATGATACACTTTCATGTTTAACAACACATAAACAAAAGATAAGAATTTATATTCTAATAAAATGTAGTTTTTTCAGCTTGTACTGTCATTCAGTAATGATGTGAAATGAAAAATAACAAAGCAATGCCAAACAACGAAAGCTATCTTTTAAGATATTTTCTTACGTATTGCAAAATTCATCAAACATTAACATTTAGTTTGAGTAAAGTAAGAACAATTAAACTAGCAGTATAAAATTAAGTCATCGTTTCTTATCAGTTCCTTAAAACTTAAACATTATAACCAGAAAAGGGTTATGTGGATATTATCCGTCATTGTCATCAGTGAGTTACTATTTCACAACAGAACGGGTTGAACTCCACTGATCACGGCTTCTCAATAGAACTCTATAAAATACCTCTTGGAGACCGTCACCAACGAGCATATGATGATTATAATCAGAGAGGGGTTTGTGGATATTATAGTAATTTTAATAAAGGAGTTCAACCGGGTATGTTGAGGGATTGTAACTCACTGATGACAATGGTGGGCGGTGTCACGACTTCGTGGATTGGTTGAAGTTAGACATTAACACCATTGGATGCCGGTTCAGAGGTTTAGAGGTTGTGAATTCACGTACAAGACCGATAGGTTCTGCGTTCGAATCTCCTGAGGATCGTAGATGCACGTTGCTGAGGAGTCCCACAGTGAAACGAAATGGCCGTCTGGTGCTTCCAGGTTTTTCATAGTGGTTCAATTTCAAGTGACTCATGAATTCAATTATTAAAATTAGACATTATAGTATTATTCATTATAAATCAGCTTACACAGTTAATTCATAATATTGGTAAAAGTTCTCGTTAGCGAAGATAAATGAAAGAGAATCAACAAATGTGGATGGACTATAAGAGGTAATTTAAGTGCTAAATAAGAATATTCCAGAACAAAAACTAAGAGCATAAAATCAGAACTATTTAGAAATGATATACTAATATTGTGATTACGTAATCCTTAAGATAAATTGAGTACCTATCAGAAAGATTGTATGAAACTAGCATTTCGCTTTACCAGAATAGCGTTGTGGAGATTGTTGAGTCTTTTGAGATCATGAACTGATCAATATTAAACTACCATTGAAAATTCAGCTCTTCAATGGTGATCAGTTCATGACCTCAATAATAATTTAGTTTTATGCCTGTTTTATTACATGAATCATAAGCTCAATTTAATACATAAATTACTGTCATATTCTCTTATTTAAACATTAAAAACATGAAATTCAGCGAAGGGATCTCTTTTCAATTAATTTATTATCAAGCTGTACAATCGTATGCATATGAAGCATTTTTGTTAAAGTACTAGTTCTATGAAGAAATGTGAACAAGCAATAACGAAGACGATGGATTCCCTAATATATGTCAGAAGTATTGTAATTTGAACGTGACCCTCGTATTTCTTTTTCCTACTCTAATATCTTAGCTTGGATACAATCATATTTTTTTATTCCTTATGCGCTGTAGTCGTGATTGACAAGTAAAACATTGATTCATTTTATTGACGTCGTGAACCGACCATTGAATATCGTTTATTGCATGATTGTTTCTACATTATTCTCAATAAAATTCTTTTCATCTCGTTTAGTTCAATGAAAATTAGTTTCAAAATGATTAGTGGTTACTGGTTCTTGAAAAGTGATGTAAAACATAAATATTTCCTTGACTGATCACCATTTCTCAAAACTATGAACGCAGATAACTTACAAAGTTCTAGCTAT